AATTAATCACCCTGTCAAAATCCTTTGTGTTACGGCATTGAAATTCGAACAATACGTTATTTCAATGATTTTGTTTTTTTTTGAGACACCCTGTAGAGGCGGTGCCAATGTCATTATCTTCACGAACAATACATGCTTGAAATAAATGACCGGTTGAGTCATTAGAATTTGAATTCTCATTTGCAGACATTTGCAAATTCCACCGGCTAAAAAAATCTACTCGTCTGTTCGATTTGGCCTGTGTGAGGATCGAACTCACGACCTTAGCGTTGTTAGCACCACGGCACCACGCTGTGCCGACTGAGCTAACAAGGCCAGCCCGCAAACGTTCCATTAGCAAGAGACAAATAAAAATCCAAGAATACGTACATTTACTGTCTGTCATCTGAGTACTTTTCTTGTCTGATATATTGAGTGTATTGAGCACGTCGTGCTTGGTTATTAGGCCATGAGGCCACTTGTCTTCAAATCCTAGGTACCATTATAAATTACCAAATTTTCCGCAGGTTCTTCAAGAATTTCTCGGAAACATTCTGGCACTTGAAATAATATAAATATAAATTAAGATGATAATGTGGTACGTCCCTGCCAGGACTCGAACCTGGAATCTTCTGATCCGTAGTCAGACACCTTATCCATTTGGCCACGAGGCCATTGAGTCATAGTTTGTATGCTTCCTCACTGCCGACAGAATTTCAGTCCGCCACAACGTTTGGAAAATAGTCGATGTCACGGATTTTCCGTCCGTTTCAGCAGTCTCCATCAGGAATTAATATCTAAAAATCACCACTCCAATTTCGACGCGAGCTTCCAACTTAGTGGTGCTGCGCATCCATCAAGTGCAGCGAATCTCGCAAGGCGGTTTCCTTCGATTTTGCAAGTAATGCGCCATCTTCAAAGAACCCAGATAAATTAGCATGTGAATTTTGTTATATTACGTACCAGTAGTTCACGATGCTATCTTCAAATTCCACAGGCTAAACAAATCTACTCGTCTGTTCTATTTGGCCTGTGTGAGGATCGAACTCACGACCTTAGCGTTATTAGCACCACGCCCTGCCGACTGAGCTAACAGGCCAGCCCGCAAACGATCCATTCGCAAGAGACAAATAAAAAATCCAAGAATACGTACATTTACTGTCTGTCATCTGAGTACTTTTCTTGTCTGATATATTGAGTGTATTGAGCACGTCGTGCTTGGTGTGCGTTCGACAGATTTTGGATACAGCAATTTGTTGAGATTGTCTAAAATTGTCACTGCGAAATTGCACTAACATTAAGCACCACTAAGTTGGAAGCTCGCGTCGAAATTGGAGTGGTGATTTTTAGCTATTAATTCCTGATGGAGACTGCTGAAACAGACGGAAAATCCGTGACATCGACTATTTTCCAAACGTTGTGGCGGACTGAAATTCTGTCGGCAGTGAGGAAGCATACAAACTATTACTCAATGGCCTCGTGGCCAAATGGATAAAAGGTGCCTGATTACGGATCAGAAGATTCCAGGTTGGAGTCCGGGCGGAGTGTATCACATTGTCATCTTAATTTATATTTATATCATTTCAAGTGGCAAAATGTTTCCGAGAAATTCTTGAAGAACCTGCGGAAGATTTGGTAATTTTTATGGTACTTAGTCCTTGTCCCAAGGGCTTCTCGGCCGCGCGCGTCCGGCCTCCTCCACAGGCCCTCGTTGCGTCATGGGAAGGTCACGATCTGGCGAGGGCCTGCGGAATCTTGTAAAAAAAATGGCGCCGGCGTCACGTCAGCAAGTAAATTTCTACATAATCTTGAATATAAACAGATATAAAAAAGCGGCGGGAAACTTGTAAATTAAACTGGCGACTCTTAGGACGTGGAAGGAAGCATTTTTTAACGATAAGGTTTGTTGTCCACACCAACGTTGCACGAATAAAACTGCCTTCTTTAACGGAGCAGGTTTAGAACAACATTTATTCATTTTACAAGATTCCGCAGGCCCTCTCGAAATCGTGACCTTCCCATGACACAACGAGGGCCTGCGGAGGAGGCAGGCGCGCGTCCTCGCCCTGGAAGGCCCTGGAACATACGGAACCGGAAGTGCAAGTAAACTTGCAGCAGTTTCTAAAGCGCATGGTCTTGAATTGGGACACTTTAACACCCGTAACAATTTTCAAAGTGAAGTATTACGAGGTATTTGCGTTGTATTTGCTCAACTTCTGCGAAATAGGATTTCTCTGAGAAGCTAATCAGATCTCTCGCTTTAGTCGCCTAATCCACAGCCTACTTTTCAACGAGTGACCGAGTGAAAATGGCTCTGGGGACGAAAATGGTCCACCTGTCCTCACGCTTTTTGTAATGTTTCGCTACCTTAGCTTGCAGTTTGAAATTAGTAATCACAAATCTACGTTTTAAGCTAATCACTTTAGTCATGTAATAACAGTATCTGGGCAGCCATAGGCTGTACCAATATCACAGTTCTAGTCAATATTAAGTACAACCACATGAGATGTCTCATCATGCCTGCTGATCGAGTGTACGTATATACAACTAGCATAACTTGCAACTGGAGTCAGAATTAATTACAAAGAATAGACTTTAATTAACCATGCTTTGTAAGTTAATTTGAATTTATATAGCACTTCATAAATACCAAAAATGAAGATAGCCGGTCAGAATTAGCATAAGTGGCTTGAGACTCCATTTTAAAAACTGTGGCACTAGCGTTGTTTCTAAAAACAGAAATGTAATATAGGCATGCGCGTCAGGAATATACTGTATTCTATGCAAATCAATGCAAATCCCATATATTTTCTGATAAAGTTTCGAAGTTCTCATTGTTCACAGGGCTCATTGTTCTTCCCAAGCAATACAATCACAATATTTTTGATGAATT